TAAATAAATAAATAAATAAATAAATAAATAAATAAATAAATAAATAAGTTAATGTATGTCAAACTCATAGAATAGTCCCTGCTATATAGTAAGCAAAATCTAAGAATTTGCTACCACTGCTTTAGGATTATTATTGAAATTATCATCCATGTAGTTTTGTCACTTTTTTTTTTTTTTTTTTTTTAAGAGATGGAGTCTTGCTTGGTCACCCAGGCTGGAGTGTAGTGGCGCAATCTTGGCTTACTGCAACCTCCACTTCCTGGGTTCTAGCAATTCTCCTGCCTCAGCCTCCTGAGTAGCTGGAATTAAAGGGACATGCTGCCACGCTCAGCTAATTTTTTGTATTTTTAGTAGAGACATGGTTTCACTGTGTTGCCCAGGCTGGTCTCAAACTCCTGAGCTCAGGCAATCCACCTGCCTCGGCCTCCCAAAGTGCTGAGATTACAAGCGTGAGCCACCACGCCTGGCCTGTCATCTTAAACTACTAATTAGAAAACAAGCTAAGCATGGTGGCTGATACCTGTAGTCTCAGCGCTTTGGGAGACTAGGGTGGGAGAACTGCTTGAAGCCAGGAGTTTGAGACCAGCCTGGACACCATAGTGAGACACCATCTCTACCAAAAAAAAAAAAAAAAAAAATTATCTGAGAGTGGTGGTATGCACCTATAAGTCCCAGCTATTAAGGAGACTGATGTGGGTGGATCACTTGAGCCTGGGAGCTCAAGACTGCAGTAAGCTATGATGGCACCACTGCACTCCAGTCTCAGTGAAACAACAAAACCCTGTCTCTTAAAAAAAAAAAAGAAAAGAAAAGAAAAAGAAAACAATTAAGGTATGTGAGCAATTAACACATGGTTGTAAGGGTGCTGATCATTTTGTGTCTGTTAGGAAATCACTGAATTAAGTTAAATGTTCATTATGCACCAGATGAGGGTGGCGGGTGGGGGCTGAACCAGTTTAGGGACAGCTATGGACAACATTTTGAAACTGACACATTCCCAGGCTTACTCCAAAGTGACAAGATCTCTGGTCAGAATTCACTGAATCTCACATGATATTGAATAAACACTTGTTCAACAAAAGAATACACAAACTGAGCAAAGTGAATGAAGCAGCACAAATTCAAAACATGTGGAAGCATGGATGATGGAATCCGTTTCTCCCCAGATGTGGTTATCCTGAAAGCAAAGATGGGTTTATTCACATCAGACTTATTCACATCACAAGAAACGACCAGTGAGTCCTTTCGCTTCCATTACATCCACCCATCGAGATGGAAGACAGAGTCTGAGGATCGCTCCCAATTAAAGAGAGGGAAGGGTGTAAAATCAACCAATCGAGAACCATCTGCACAGGAACCTGGGCAGGAAGGGACCTGGAGAGGAGGTTGAGAGACCAAGGGCTAGTCCTAGATCTGTCCATAATTACGTGATACTGGGTAAGTCCCCTTACTGCTCTTATGTGTGATAAAATAAAAAAGAAAAGCAGATTTAAAAGAATAAAATTGACCAGCCAGGCAATATGGCGAAACCGTCTGTACAAAAAAATTTTTAAATTAGCTTGGCATGGTGGTGTGCACCTGTGATCCTGGTTACTTGGGAGGGTGACGTGGGAGGATCACCTGAGCCCCGGGAGGTCGAGGCTGCAGTGAGCTATGATACTCACCACTGCACTCCAGCCTGGGTGATACAGTGAGACCCTATCTCAAACAAACAAATAAATAAAAAGCAATAAACAATAAAAATAGCATGAATCAGTGCTTATTATGTGATAAGCCACTGACCAGCAATCTGGAGAGTGGGTATTATTTCTTTTTCTTTTCTTTTTTTTAAAATCCTACATTTCCAACTTCTTTTGAAAAAGTTCTGGCAGCTCTAGGCTCACATGCCTACATAACAACAGGCTATAAATGGGCAGTGGCCACTCTTAATGCAATGGGACGTGGGTGCTCCAGTTCAGTTGCCAAACCCCACACTATTACCCCTGGCTGACTTCCTCCACTGGCACCACCTGCCTGTCCCTGACAGCATCTGGGTTGCTACCCCGAAATGCTGGTGGCCAAAATCCCCTTCCTCACATTCGATGACTCCATAGTACATGTAATGATAACAATGAGAACTTGAAAACCTTTTGTAAAGGCTAAGATAGAAGTTCCAATAACTCTGGCTGAAAGTCTGCAGGAGGTCAACAGGTCAGGAGTACTGATTGCTAGTGGATGAATAAAGGAGCTATGTGAGAGGCTGGAGGCAGAAGGAAAAGGCTAAGGAAGGTTATCCTAAGGGTGCTGGGATGGGGAAGCCACCACTGGGGTCTTGTACAGAATCTAATTCTCCCGTGCTTCCTTTTACCTGTTCGTAGTTTATGAACATGGCCACCTCAAAACTGTTGGCTGCCCACTTTAGGAGGTTTGCGGACTGCTCTGGAGTCATGTAAACCAGCACACATTCAGCTATCAGGAGTGTTGGCAATCTTAAGAGAAGAAAAAAAGGCACATAAATTTGTTATCAAGTCAGGCCCCTCTAATTGTACACATGTTGCAGTACTGGTGGGGTAGTCCATGCTCCAGGGAGATAAGAAGGCCTGAGCAAGCACAGCCCCAGTCAGGGCAGGAATACATGTGGACCACCATCACGACCCGAGCTTTCTACTGTGAAAAGCTGAGCAGTGAGCAGTAAGCAGTGATTTGTGTGGCTATGAAAACATGTTCAGTGTCTGTGGTAGACTGTAAAAGTGGCTACAAGTTCTCCCCTGCTGTATACTCACTCCATGCCAATCTAACACTGCAGCTTCTCCCATTTGAGAGGTGTTTACTCTTCTACCCCTGGAATCTGGGTAGTCACGAAACTTTTGTTTTGTCAACAGGACAGTAGCAAAACCATGATGCAAGCAGAAGCTTGAAAGTCACATGCACATTGGTGCTTGCTCTCTTGCTGCATTTGGAAACCTGAAACCACTATGTGAAGGAATCCAAGCTAGCTTGCTATAGGAGGAGATGACCAGTGGAAGAGACGAAGGCATCCCAACTGACAGCCAGCCAGAGCGTAGCTGGCCTGCCCACTGTCCACATGATTAAACTACTTAAGGATATATGCTAAACCTCATACCAAGCAGAACTATCCAGCTAAGCCCAGTCCAAACTGCAGAAGAACCTCCAGCTAAGTAAGGCCAATCCAAACTGCAGAAGAGAATCCAGCTAAACCCAGCCCAAACTACAGAAGAACATCCAGCTAAGCCCAGTCCAAACTGCAGAAGAACATCCAGCTAAGCCAGCCCAAACTACAGAAGAACATCCAGCTAAGCCCAGCCCAAACTGCAGAAGAACATCCAGCTAAGCCCAGCCTAAACTGCAGAAGAACATCCAGCTAAGCCCAGCCCAAACTGTGGGAGAACATCCAGCTAAGCCCAGTTCAAACTGCAGAAGAATATCCAGCTATGCTCAGCCCAAACTACAGAAGAACATCCAGCTAAGACCAGCCCAAACTGCAGGAGAACATCCAGCTGAGCCCAGTCCAAACTGCAGAAGAACATCCAGCTATGCTCAGCCCAAACTGCCAACTCATAGCATCCTGAGTAACTAAATATTCTGTGAGTTGTTTTAAACCACTGAATTTGAGGTGATCTGTTACACAACAAAAGCTGACTGATATAATGTAGAAATACTGACATTCATTTAATAGAACCTAATTCTTTTTTCTTTAGAGACAGGGTGTTGCCCTGTCACCCAGGCTGGAGTGCAGTGAGGCAATCACAGCTTACTGTAACCCTGACCTCCTGGCCTCAAGTGATCTTCCTGCCCCAGCCTCCCAAGTAGCTAGGACTACAGGCATGTTCCACTACGCTCAGCTAATTTTTAAAAACTTTTTACAGAAATGGAGTCTTACTGCTTTGCCTAGGCTAATTCTTCTTATATAAACTTTTGCCATCAAGAATTGAACACAGGGCAAGGCATGATGGCTCATGCCTGTAATCCCAGCACTTTGGGAGGCCAAGGTGGGTAGATCATTTGAGGTCAGGAGTTTGAGACCAGCCTGGCCAACGTGGAGAAATCCCATCTCTACTAAGAATACAAAAATTAAATTACTCAGGCGTGGTGGCAGGCACCTGTAATCCCAGCTCCTCAGGAGGCTGAGACAGGAGAATTGCTCGAACCTGGGAGATGGAGATTGCAGTGTGCCAAGATCACGCCACTGCACTCCAGCCTGGGTGACAGAGTGAGACTCCATCTCAAAAAAAAGGTGGGCATGGTGGCATGCACCTGTAGTCCCAACTACTCGAGGTTTCAGCCTCCTGAGAATTGCTCGAACCTGGGAGGCAGAGGTTGCAGTAAGCCAAGATCATGCTACTGCCTGCATTCCAGCCTAGGTAACAGAGTGAGATCCTGTCTCAAAAAAAAAAAAAATTGAACACAAATAATCTTCAAGAAATTACATTATTGGTATATACACTCTGATTCACCAGACCGGTAGCAATCAACAAACTACGAAATAGGAGAAGCAACAAACCCCTTAAGAAGTATCTAAGGCCAGGCGCAGTGGCTCAAGCCTGTAATCCCAGCACTTTGGGAGGCCGAGGCGGGAGAAGCATGAGGTCAGGAGATCAAGACCATCCTGGCCAACATGGTAAAACCCCATCTCTACTAAAAAATACAAAAATTAGCTGGGCATGGTGGTGCATTAGCTGGGCGTGGTGGCGCGTGCCTGTAGTCCCAGCTACTTGGGAGGCTGAGGCAGGAGAATTGCTTGAACCCAGGAGGCAGCGGTTGCAGTGAGCCGAGATCACATCACTGCACTCCAGCCTGCTGCCTGCCAACAGAGTGAGACTCTGTCTCAAAAAAAAAAAAAAAAAAAAAAAGAAATATCTAAAGGCCTTAATTTTTTTAAAAGGAACTTTGGCAGTTCACAACTCATGTGCACTCTCCTTTTTTGGCTTGCTTGAACTATTCGTTCCTTTATCCCAAAATTCAAGGCGGGGGAACCAATATTCTTGACTCTCCTTGACCCAACTAGTCTGGAACAGGGTCAGTGCTGACAGGACTGGTGAAGCCTGAAGAAACTCTTCTCCTTTGTCCACAGCTCGACTGGTTTTTCCCAATTCACTTACTCCTCATTCTCAGACTCCTTTACTGGGGCCTCTTCTCCCTTCCTGACCCCCTAAATATTGATGTTCCTCATGGCTGGCTGTGATTTTTCCCAAAAGGCCAATGGGTGGTTTTCATCTGTTTTTACTGGCAGGAGATCTCAGAAAAAATAAATAGTGTGACATCAAGTGCCCAACAAGAAACTGGTTGAAAACAACATGGTATATCCTACCCAATGGACTGCTAGGCAGCTCATAAGTATGATGTTTCAGGGACTATATTTGACACAAAAGCTATCCATGGTCCCCAGATTCAAGTAGCCTATTAGATGCTTCCCTACACTTCTTCAAAGCAGATATCACAAGAGTAATTAACAGTCAAATGTAATTAGCTATTTAATGTCTCTTTTCCTTACATAATACTGTGTAAGCTGTTTTGTTCATAATACTGTGTAAGCTCTATAGTACCTGTACCTCACAGAATCTCGATTATTTGCTAAATGAGTGAAGACTAATAAACACATGAATGATTATATGTGTACATATACACATATATCTTTGATTCTTTATTTTTTTTTGAGACAGAGTCTCACTCTGTCCCAGGCGCCAGGCTGGAGTGCAGTGGCTCGATCTCGGCTCACTGCAACCTCCACCTCCCGGGTTCAAGCAATTCTCCTGCCTCAGCCTCCCAAGTTGCTGGGACTACAGGTGTGTTCCACCACGCCCAGCTAATTTTTTTGTGTTTTTAGTAGAGACGGGGTTTCACCATGTTGGCTAGGATGGTCTTGATCTCTTGACCTCGTGATCCACCCGCCTTGGCCTCCCAAAGTGCTGAGATTACAGGTGTGAGCCACCACGCCCGGCTTTTTTTTTTTTTTTTTTTTTGAGACAGAGTCTCACTCTGTTGCCAGGCTGGAGTGCAGTGCTGTGATCTTGGCTCACTGCAGCCTCCTCCTCCTGAGTGGTATGAGCCACTGCGCCCAGCTGATTCTTTTAAAAGTTCCAAAACTGGCTGAGTGTGGTGGCTCAAATCTGTAATTCCAGCACTTTGGGAGGCCAAGGCAGGCAGATTGCTTGAGCTCAGGAGCTCATAACCAGCCTGGGCAATAAGGTGAAATCTTGTCTCTATAAAAATTAGCCGGGTGTGGTGGTGCACGCCTGTGGTCCCCACTACTCAGAAGGCTGAGGTGGGAGGATCACTTGGGCCTGAGAGATTCATGCTGCAGTGAGCACAGATCACACCACTGCACTCTAGCCTGGGTGACAGAGTAAGAACCCTGTCTCCAAAAAAAAAAAAAAAAAAAGTTCCAAAATTATATGTATAGCATAATCACATTTTAAATGAAAATATATATTTACAAATTTGGGGATAAAATTTTAAGGTGGTTATCTCTAAGTACTGGGATTAGGAATTATTTCTATCTTCTCTTTGAGGAACCATCAAAATCATCAACAATTAAAATTACAGAAATAAATAGCATTTCTCAGAGATTTGATAGTTATCAATATCCTCAACTACTAACACTTACAGCTGGGTTCTATTATTCTATTCGCATTCACATTTTTCTTTTTTTTGAGATGGAGTCTCACTCTGTTGTCCAGGCTGGAGTGCAATGTCATAATCTCAGCTCACTGCAACCTCCACCTCCTGGGTTCAAGTGATTTTCCTGCCTTGGCCTCCCAAGTAGCTGGGATTACGGCCGCCCGTCACCATGCCCAGCTGATTTTTTGTATTTTTAGTAGAGATGGGGCTTCACCATGCTGGCCAGGCTGGTCTCGAACTCCTGACCTCAGGTGATCCACCCACGTTGGCCTCCCAAAGTGCTGGGATTACAGGCATGAGCCACCATGCCCGTCCTATTACTCACATTTTTCAGAAGAGGGAACAGATGCAGAGAGGTGAAGCAAGTTATCCAAGGTCATGGTCTAGCGGATGTTCCTGTCAGAAATCAAATCTGTCCAGCTGGACTAAGTTCCCAGACTCATGAACTACAATGAACACGCTCCTGATGCACACATGCAATATCTTCTCAAGGGGACACCCACAAAAGTGGGACTGCTACATCATATGGTACATACACTTTTAATGTTACTAGATACTTCCAGATTGCTCCTCACAATGGTTATACGAAGATCACTTCCACCAATGCTGTATCATTCTCTATCCCCCACATCCTTGCCAATACTTGGTATTGTCCCCTATTACATTTTTACCAACTTGGTGGGAGTAAAATAGAATTTCATCTGATTACCACTGATGCCCAATACCTGTTTCACAGGATATTCAGTTTCTTCTTTGAGCTGCCTGGTCATCTATCCTTTGCCCATTTTTCTATGAGACTTTTTTTTCAAATAGTAGTTGTTCTTTATATATCCTGGATGCTAATCTTTTCTTTATATGTTACAAATACGTTTCTATCCATACAATTATCTTCTCTCAAACTTTCATATGAAATCAGGCACTAGTATTTCTGCAAAGTAACACAGATGATTCTGATGTGGAAACATATTTAAAGAATAGTGCTGCTTAAAAAATTTCAGAAAACTACACCAGGTGTGGTGGCTCACACCTGTAATCCCAGCACTTCGAGAGGTCAAGATGGGCAGATTACCTGAGGTCAGGAGTTTGAGACCAGCCTGACCAACATGGAGAAACCCCATCTCTATTAAAAATACAATATTATCTGGGCATGGTGGCGCATGCCTGTAATCCCAGCTACTCTGGAGCCTGAGGCAAGAGAATCGCTTGAACCTGGGAGGCAGAGTTTGTGGTGAGCCAAGATCACACCATCGCACTCCAGCCTGGGCAACGAAAGTGAAACTTCGTCTCAAAAAAAAAAAACAAAAGACATTTCAGAAAACTTAATAGCAATGAAATAAAACTTACTGAATAAAAAATGGAACACGGGTATCATGCTGTACTTCAGACTGGCCTTATCTCATAATTAGCATGAAATCACAAAAGCAAAAGAGGTTTTTTTTAAAAAAAATCTCACTGTGTATTCATGTTACATTTCTTTAGTTTCTCTTCCAGTTGAGACAGGTCTCGGAGATCTGCTCCAATAACAGCATATCTCTTTGAATCCAGTATGTGTCCATCTGCAAATGCAATCAGAGGCTATAATTTCAATGAAAATGTCTTTTTCAAAGTTACAGTAGCTTTACGGTTTTTCCCTACTATAAAAATACATGCATCATTGTTTAAAAAAAAAATAGGTTAAGAGGAAGGCAAAAATTAACCATAATCATATCTTCCAAAGGTAACTATTCATCTTTTGGTGTGTAACATTCCAGCGTTTCGTCCTACATGCTTAAGTTAGTGTACACAACAAAACACATTCTTCCCCTCTCATGTACATGGCACATGTGCACAGGTGTACACACACACACACACACATTGAATAGAGAAAAGAAAATGGGACCATCCAATATCTGGTTTGAAAGCTGCTTTTCCTAAATAACAACATCCTTAGAAGGGACAGTCTTCTCTACAATGATTTCATAGCATTCCATCGAGTGGATAAAACATAACTTGTTTAGCCAATCCCTCACTATGAGACATGTGGTATTTCTAAGTTTTCCCCATCTAGGTACTGCAAGCATCCTTGCATATACATCATGAAGCATCTGTCCAGTAATTTCTTTAAAGTAGATAGTATGAGTGGAATTAAGAGATCAAAGGGTAAGCCTATTTAAATATGGGGACCCATTAGCAGGCTGCTCTCTAAACGTCACATCAATTTGTACTATGTTTTGAAAAAGACAGTTTATGTGCTAATGTATTTACAAATAAAATGACAGAATTTCCTTTGAAAGACTCCAGCAGAGTTAGGATGGAATGGTATCTGTGGTGATTCTCAGGCTTCAGCGGTCATCAGAATCACCTGGGTGGCTTGCTAAATCACAGACGGACAGGCTCTACCCCAAGTTTCTGATTCACTACATCTTTCACTAGTAGAAATTTACATTTCTAGGACGTTCCCAGAGGGTACTGATGTTTAGTCTGATGACTTACACTCTTGGAACCACCGCTATAAATACAATGAGACAGTTAAGTGATGGGTACAGGGAGGTTTATCAACCTAGTCACAATGCATATGTGTATGCTTCAAACTTTTTTCAATTAAAAGTTAAGGCTGGGCGTGGTGGCTCATGCCTATAATCCCAGCACCTTGGGAGGAGGAGGCAGGCTGATCACCTGAGGTCAGGAGTTTGAAACCAGCCTGGCCAACACGGCAAAACCCCATCTCTACTAAAAATACATAAAAAATTAGCTGGGCATGGTGGTGCACATGCCTGTTAATTCCAGCTACTCGGGAGGCTGAGGCAAGTTGGAGGTTGCAGTGAGCCGAGATCATGCCACTACACTCCAGCCTGGGTGACAGGGTGAGGGTCCGTCTCAGAAAAATAACAATAAAAAATAAAAGTTAACACATTGTTTTAAAGAAAGAAAATTGCTTGAGTTTATTATTTACTCAACTTCCAGACATTGTTCACTCCACTTCCTCAAGGGTACAAACCATAGCAGGAGCTGAAATATCAATAGCCACCTGTACTACTGCTAATAATTCAGGTTCTCTTGACTCTGAGAACTTCAGCAAAAAGTGCTGAAAAGGCTAAACTATTACATGTAAGTAGGTTCTCACTTATTATCTTGATAACCCCGCTTGGCTGATTCAAATACATTTGGCTACACACCGTAAGCTAAAGAAACACTTCCTAAGAGCCTGCTTGATGTCAGGAAAGCAACAATGGGCAAGCAGGGAACCCAAAGTCTGCCCCAGGGTGTCAGGAGTCAGCAAAGTAATATAAAGAATATGGCATGTGGCTGGGTACAGTGGCTCATGCCTATAATCCCAGCCATTTGGGAGGCCCAAGCAGGAGGATGGCTTAAATGAGTTCAAGACCACCCCGGGCAATGTAGCAAGACTGTACAAAACAATTAAAAAAATTAGTCGAGTGTGGTGACATATGCCTGTAGTCCCAGCTACTCCAGAGGCTGAGGTGTGATGGCTTGAGCCCAGGACTTCAAGGATGTAGTGAGCTATGATCGTGCCACTGCACTCCAGCCTGGGCAACAGAACAAAGACCTTGTCTCTCCAAAATAAAAGAATATGAAGGCAGTTGTCTACCCTATTATGAAAACAATTCCAAAATGCCTGTGTAACTTCTTGCAAATAACAAATATATTAATAATAAGCATATTTGGAATGAGATTTTCCATTCCTGACCAAAAAACAACAAATAACACACCACAATATTAACACACAAAGTCTAATACCATGTAGTTCAGGGGAGACCTATCTTACTCACATTAGGATCTAATATTAGCATGTAAAGCAAAAATCACACATCATCATGATTATTCTTGTAAGTTGTGCACAAGGTACATCCGAGCTGAAGGGAGTCAGTGACTTGAGGCTCATCTGCCTCTCTGCAGTGGCCCAGCCGTATGTGGTGGCATGCTGGCATACCACATGGGAAGCACTAGACTAGATGACCTTGAGATTCCTTTAATAAAATGAAGTAATTTAATGACTTGAGTAACACACACCAGCATCACATGATTCAGTTGCTTTTCTTAAGTCAGGGGCTACTCAAGCTGTGAGAAAATAACAGGTCCATTATCTGTCCTTGAAAGATATCTTACCATTATTTCACAGGGAACTAAACGTATTTGTGGAGGACAGAGGCTCAGAGCAAGTTTCGAAGGAGTTTTAGAATTCTGGGAAAATAAGGCCATTTGTATAAAATCTAGCACTGGCAAGAGGCCATGGGAACAGAAAAACCCTTAACTGTCTGGAATGCTTCTGAGAGCTTGTGGGAAAGATAACTTGCTTGCCAAAATGAGATCCACAATCCCTTCTTTTCCTATATTCTACTTCATTATAGAAAAATGTAAGGCAACTGAAAACATTTTGTATGATATTTATAGAACTTTCTAAAGAAACAGACCGGCCCTGTGTGGTGGATCACCCCTGTAATCCTAGCACTTTGGGAAGGCAAGGTGGGCGGGTCACCTGAGCTCAGGCATTTAAGACTGGCCTGGCCAGCAGGCAAAACTCCATCTTTGTTGACAACAAGTTAGCTGGGTATGATGGTGGGTGCCTGTTATCTCAGCTACTTGGCAGGGCTAAGGCAGGAGAATCGCTTGAACCTGGCAGGCAGAGGTTGCAGTGAGCCAAAATCATACCACCTTACTCCATCATCCTGGGCAACACAGAGACTCTTAAAAAAAAAAAAAAAAAAAAAAAAAAAAAAAAAAAAAGACCATACTTACCCTAGTCTGGAAAGCCAATTAACATTGATTTAAAACCTCTGTATCGCTACCAGTAGTTCTTTCTGTAATCAATACTTCTTTAGAAGATTGATTTCCAAGAGGCTTAAAAAGGAGGAAAAGCCCTGAAAATATAACACTATAATACGGTTTAAAAACCTAAGAACCAATTTCTACACGGTCAGAATGAAAAGAGAGTAATGACAATCCTAACTCCTCCGGCTTGGTCTTTATTAAATTAAAGCAGTGTTCTCCAATAGGACAACTTTGCCACTAAGGAACATCTGGCAATGTGTGGAGACATTTTTTGGCTGTCACAACGAGAGGGTGCTACTGGCATCTAGTGGGCAGAGGCGAGGGACATTGGTAAACATTCTACAATGTACAGAACAGTCCCACACTACAGAATTATCCAACCCAAGTGTCAAGAGTGCCGAGGTTGTGAAATCCTGCATTAAAGTTACAAAAACCCAAAGACCATTTGTTGACATTCAGTTGTTAAAAATCCTTAAATAGTCCTAATTACTCTCTGATAGGGGAACTTAACATGCTGTGGCTTTTATCCAGAACATAGTATCCAAAATAAAAACTTGCTTTGGAGTGAATCTGCAGCAACATGAGCTTTGGTCTCAAACAGCCCTGATGTCAAATTTCATGTGAGTAAGCGGGGCACCATGGCTCACGCCTGTAATCACAGCACTTTGGGAGGCTGAGGCAGGAAGATTGCTTGAGTCCAGGAGTTCAAGATCAGCCTGGGCAACATAGCGATACCACATCTCTACAAAAAAATACAAAAATTAGACAGGTATGATGGCACACAGCTGTAGTCCCAGCTACTTGGGAGGCTAAGGTGGGAGGATTAATTGAGCCTGGGCTGTGGTGAGCTGTGATCACACCACTGCACTCCAACCTGGGCGAGAGAGTGAGACCCTAAAAAAAAAATTCATGTGACTCTGGGAAAGTCATATAATCACTTGAGACTACTTTTAATCATAAAATGTGAACAATGACAATCTTAGAAGACTGTCGTTGGGACTCAAGGGAATGGTAAAGTGATGGCACTGTGGTACCATGGGGTGGGATGAGAAATTCACTGGGGCAAAGAGAAATATTTTAAATTTTTCAGGGAACACAGAGGTACTCAACATCTGTCAGGCTAAGCTACTAGCTCAAGACTGTCACAGTTTCAACATCAGACTGCTCCGTATCCTTGCAAAGCTAAGTGTTCAGATGTTGTGGTTAAAAAGCAAGTACCAGGCTGGCGTATGGTGGCTCACGCCCGTAATCCCAACATCTTGGGAGGCTGAGACAGGCGAATTGCTCGAGGCCAGGAGTTTGAGACCAGCCTGGCCAACATGGCGAAACCCTATTTCTACTAAAAATACAAAATCAGCCAGGTGTGGTGGACCACGCCTGTAATCCTAGCTACCTGGGAGGCTGAGGCACGAGAATTGCTTGAACCAGGAGCTGGAGGTTGCAATGAACTGAGAGTGCACCACCGTACTCCAGCCTAGGAGACAGAGCAAGACTCTGTCTAAAAAAAAAAACAAAAAAAAAAAAACAAAAAAAAAAAATATTGTGCCAATGTGACCGGAATGGGGTGGTGTCCAATCTGATCCCAAGGTAAGGGTGTAAAGTGCCCTAAAGAGCATGCATCTCAGCCGGGCGCGGTGGCTCACACCTGGAATCCCAGCACTTTGGGAGGCTGAGGCGAGCAGATCACGAGGTCAAGAGATCGAGACCATCCTGGCCAACATGGTGAAACCCTGTCTCTAATAAAAATACAAAAATTAGCCCAGTGTGGTGGCACATGCCTGTAGTC